CGTCAATGGTGACAAGGCTCCCTAAAGTGAGTGTTCATGCATTTGCTCTTTCCTGGTAACGTCTGTCACTTTCCATGGGATGTTAGCTGTTACGGTGACTGGAGCAGAGGATGTTCAACTAGAAAAAGATGGAGTCATAGTATAGCTGGAGAAGAGGTTGTGGACTTTTTTACATGGTCCAAATGCAAGAGCGTCTGTTGCAAGGTTTTCCTCATGGCTGCTTTGCTGTTGCTCTGCACCCACAGCGAGTGGCAGAGCTCTTCCATACGTGTGTGAAGGGGAAGGTGTCTCCCTCACTGGTCCCCTTGTCTGGCTTTCCTAGGCCACCTATTTCCCCTGTTAAAGCTGCAATGCCTGAAGCTTAGACCCTCAAGGGGTCCAGAGATTTGAGTTCTTGAGACTAAAGCCGCCTTTTGATTCTAGGAGAATATTAATATTATCCAGGGTGCCTGGGTGGCTCAGTCGGTTAGGTGTCTGACTCTTGGTTTTGGCTCAGGTCATGATCTCATGGTTTTTGAGTTCAAGCCCCAATTCTGGTTTTGTGCTGACAGCGCACAGCCTGCTTGGGATTTGGGACGCTCTCTCCCTCTCTCTCTGCCCCTCCCTTATATGTACACATGCATACATGTGTCCTCTCTCTCAAAACACATAAACTTTAAAAAAAGAATATTAACATTTCCCTATAAGACCGAAGGACATGAGTAACAGTAGTAAAACCAATACAGATAAACTTTCAAGTTGCATCATGCTTGTGGTTTACAAAGCCCTTATTTAATCAAGAAACCCCGAGGAGTGGGCTTTAACATTATATTATTATCGCTATTGTACAGTTAAGGACACCAAGGTGTAGAAAGATTAGGTGCCAAACATGAGGAAGCACAGCTGGTAATTGTCCAGCGTGTGGCACAGAAAAGGCATGTGGCTCAATAAATGTTTGAGGAACGAATCAATGAAGGAATGAACAAATGAAATGGGACCAACACCCGGTTCCTCCAACTGTGACCCCTGTGCTCTCTGCCCACCACCAGGCCACCTTCTGTGAACGTTTCAGAGCTCCCACACCTCTGGGGCAGCTGGGTGTAGCTCGTCTATGCCAGGGGGAGCTGGGATTGAGCTTTCTAAGATCACTGCTTTGTTCTGCAGATGTGAGATTTATGTCTTGAAATTCCAAGAAGGAAAATAATGGCATTTTATTTCATTGGCTATTTGAAATATGCTGTATTCCAAAAGGTTGAATCTATAAACATTACTGGAAATGTGGGAATGGATGCCAGGAATTCCTAAGCCTCATGTCTGCCTCGGCCAGGATACGGCTGCTGCTCCTGTAGATTATGGGTTGAGAAATATTGCTATTGGACATTTGTTGGAAATTTTAAGCCCCCTGAAAATATGACTCCATTAGGAGAATCCTGTCAAGAGACATACAGGGAGCATTTGAATTTTTCTATCGATCCCTCCCCCTTTGTGGCATGGCAAGAAGCCCAACCACTGAGCACTTTCAATATTTTTCTATTTCTCCTACTTCTAGTTGGATTAATCTCTGGAGTATCTTGAAATTTCCTGAAGTTGCCTTCCCATGAAATGGACCATAGGATTAAAGAGGCCAACAGAAAAGATATTTCCAGTCTGGGTTTTAATGCTGCCAGTGATGAAATGGAGTCAGATTATGTACATCTCAGCTATAGGAGGGATAACCGAAAGCACACGTGACTGGCAAATCAAGTGTTCCTATGAAATCAGAGCAAAGGCTGATGAATGAAATGTTTGTATGATTCTTGCTTAACCTGTTCTCTTTCTGGATTCTCAGGAAACACCTTGAACCTGATGCAGACATTTCAAAAGGTATGCTAAGAGACTGCAGGGTAACGATTCCCTCTACATCTTTTCTAGTTTCCCTGGACAATAACAATGAGGACAACAGTAAGAATAGCTGCCATGTCCCAAACGTGGCGAGCCAAGGGTAAAGGATCCAGTTGGGATGGTAATTAATTTAGCAAAGGCTTCATGCTCTCTCCAAAAAAACCTGGCTGAACCTAAAATAAACTGACAAAGACTTTCCTGAATTAACTTGAGGTGCTAATTATACCATTTGATTTTATCCACATTACATGATCCAAAAGAAATGATTGCTTATGCTAAATACATCTATAAAGAAAAGTGCATTGGGGGTGGGAGAGGGAAAGGAAAGATAAGCCCAAGAGTACGAAAGCCCGAGGAGCAAAAGACCGCGGAAACCTTGCCTTTATAGATTGGCACCTTCAAGGTCACTGTTTGGAACTGTGACGTTTTACAGGAATTTTTGTGTTTATGGAAAGGCTTAAGTTTGGGATCCCAAAGTCTGCTGTTTGCTTCAACAACCTGCTGTGAAATGAAGGCAACTCATGTTTTCTTGGCCAAGAGGAGCTATTAAATGCAGGTGACCCCGAGGCTTCTGAAATGTCTAAGGCATGCCGAAGGTCACTGGCCACATTAGAAATGATTTTAATTTTCACTTGATGTGTTTCAGAAAATAAATATGAAGAAAAAGTTCAGACCTTTGACCAGAGTAGGATTATCTAAGGAATGTTTGCACTACAGCAGATTTAAGTGTACAAGGAGGAGGGTAGAAGGGATTCCTGCAGCTCCTGGACTCAGTGTGCCTACTAAGAGTACAGACAACAGAAGGTCAGGAAAATCTTACTGCCTGGTAGCCAGCTGTGAAGGTGCCCTCTCTGTCCAGCCTCATAGCCATCGCCACGCCACATTATGTACGCCTGATCTTTAGACCTAGAGGTGGCAAAGGGTGCGCTAAGACTTAAATAGGGAGCCACGCAGCTGAGGGCTGGAAGGGAGCAGCCTCAGTTAAGACACTATGTTCCTAAATTGCCTGCCTTTGGCTGACAGATGCTGGCAGTTGGCTGGTGTGCAAGTCTGTAACTTGCAAAGCAGGGCTGGAAAGATGGTTTTGCTTGCCAAGGCCAATGCAAGTAGGAAGCTAACAGACAGAGCTAAGAGATCTGATGCATTTTGTTGACTGATTGATTTTAATTCTCGGCCTACTTTGGGACACGAACCTCAACCCGGGCCCAGGAAGAATTGTTTGATTATTTTCATTAGGTCCATCCATCTGAATAGTGTAGGTCTGGGTTATGGAGTAAAAATCTTAATTCTGCCTCAACAGCACCCTCTCAATTCACTTGTACACAGAATCTTTCCTGGCTTTATCAGTTAGAGAACAGATGCCTTTAGAGGAGTGCTTTTTAAAATGTGGTCCCTGGATCAGTAGCAGCAGCAACAGCAGCTGAGAACTTGATAGAAATGTAAATTCTTGGGCACCGCCCTGGACCTACTGATTCAGACTCTGGAAGTGGGCCAGTGAGTTCTCCAGGTGATTCTGTGCACATTAAAGTCGGAGAACTACTGCTTTTGATCAAGCCAATCAGGCAGGCCATGATCGTTGGAACTGGTGGGAGGCAGCGACTTACACAAAAGTGGGGGGTAGGTGCGGAGAGAGATCCAGGGTAGAGTGGCATCATCTCTACTGACAACCATCTGTACCAAACTTAGGTGTTTTCCTATCTGGAGCCCAAATGAGGTGAGACTTGCCAGGGGAAGAGGAACCCCGGGAGAACGTGGTTAAGCTTGTAAAAGCTTTGTGGTCTTTAGAAGGAAGCTGACAAGGCAGGAAAAACATCTTGTAATGGGAAATGGAGGTGAATGGCAGGAGCTGTTGTCTCTCTCCCAGCACTGCTCTATTGCATCCACGAGTCTCCCGACCACATCTGAAACTCCATCATGGTGGAGCCATGGAGAGAATGGAAGATGCACGCAGGCATGAGGAAGGGGAAGAGTGGGCTGGAGCAGGCCCACTCTTGGGTTCAGTGGAGAAAACCACTCTACCATGGAGAATCATGCAGAGTTGGAGGACTCCTTCAAAGTCACTAGTTCAGCCTCGGTGAGATAATGGTTCTATCATCATCATCACCACCACCACCACCATCATGGTCATCAAGCCCCCGTGGACCGAGTGGCTCCTACATGCCCAGTATCATGCTGGGTATTTAATGTATATTATTTCTAGTACTCCCAACAACGTGCACGCATGGTGGCCATTACATCAGTGTATAGATGAGGAGAAAAAGCTCAGGGAGGGTAAGCAGCAGGTCCAATATTAGCTAGGTAATAGGGACTGAAATAAGACCCTCATCCTTATCTGGTACCTGACAACCTCACTCTACAGTACATCTGCTTGCTTATTTCCATCCACCCCGTGCCTGAATACTTCTGGGGGCAAGGTACTCCTTACATCCTAGGGCAGTTCATCTTTGGGGTTCTAGAATGCCCCTTTATTTACTGATGCCAAAAGCTACCTCCTGGCAGAGATCACTTACACGTCTTTGAGTGGGCCTGTTTTATGCCTGGTGACTCCACAGGACGTGTCCAACCGCCTTTCCACACTAATAACTCTTTGAATATCAATACAGAGTTCCAGACGTCTTTACTTCCTCCAGCTAAAAACCCGGCGTTTCTTTTTGTCACTCTTCATTTTCAGTTCTAGAAAGGCTACGAGGCTCTCATTTTAAAGCCCTAAAGATATGTATTCATAAAAGCATCTATACCTCGTACAATGCTGGGATGTTATTCTTAGTGTTCCTAATGGCTCTTCGAGCTGTAGTGTTTATGTAGCAGCAGGCACAGACACAAATCAAAACCCCATCATTCCTCAGCCATGCCAGAGAGCAAGATAGGTCACAGAGTAATTGAATCTCAGGGCTGAAGGGGGCCCTCTTCTGATGATCATGATAAACCGTCTCCAGAGAATTAGTTGTGTGCTGTCAACCTGGCTGGTACTTTTACGAATGCCAACCACGAGCCTCATGGCCTTGGGTCCTGGATTATACCACGCAGGTGGAAAACAACTTTAGAACCATGTATAGACAGCCCAAAGAAATCCCCGGACCTTGCTGTGATGGATGGAGATACAGGTCACCAACTTCATCTATAGGGGGTGGGACCCTTACCCGGCAGCACCCTGATCTGGGACCTTAAGGAAATCCAAGCTCTCCGGCGTCTGTGACACTCGGTCTGAGCCGGTGGACTGCTGCCGTGGCAAGGGTGGACGGGCCATGGAGGTGTACAGACTTTTCTGATTTAACCTCTGGTTTCCAGGAGCGTGGGGATGTGGCACAAATTGGTTTTTGATGACTCCGTTCTGATGGTAACCTAGGGAGAGAAAAACGGGAGAAAACAAAGCTTACATCTTCTGATCTGCTTAAAGGCTCTCCATCGATTAGCCAAGAGCAAGTCACTTAGCTTCGCCAGGCCTCAGTTTTCCCATCTGAAAATACAGAGGACATGACTGCAAATATGTTGTGAGGGACAGAGCTGATAGACTGTAAGCTGCCTAGCAAGTGCCTGGAACATAGCAGACACTCACACATGCTTGTTGAATTGGGTAGCAGAATCACCAGATGTTCATTCAGGCTTTCAAAGCCCACATGCAAGGAAAGGTAAGCTTGCAATGAGTTGGCAGGCACATTCTTAGATCTAAGAAAAATTATGAGGCTATGATTCAAGAGGGCTGGGAGGCAGCTGTTTAAACAGTTGGACGTCCATTTTCAAGGGGTCAGTCTTGGGTGTCCTCTGCAGGAGTCCCCTGTGGGAGGTAGAGGCTACACAGGCAGGGAAATGTGGCCACTGGTTGGATCAATCCACATAGGGCAAACTCTCGTAGCCAAACAACTGTTCCTAGTCAAGATCACATTATCTATTAAGTAATGGAATATGGTGATGGGCTCCAAACCACAGGCCTTGGCCAAAAGGGGCATTATCTTTCCATTGTATGTGTGATCTCTTCTTCTCCCTTCCCTCTTCTCCCACTGACAGATCTGGGCAAGAATGAAGAACAAGACTTCCCCAGGCCCATTTTGGTAAACCTCCTATAAAACCTCTTCCAACTGAATTAAGAAAAAAACTCTTTGGTACAGGTGGGATGACCGTCAGTGTATAAGAGAGACCAGCAGGTCAGATTGGGCTCTGCCTAGGTTAGCTCTGTTGACCTTGAACAAGATATATGACCTTTCAGTGTGTCAGTTTCTTCATTAAAGAAACAAGGAGCTTGGTGGTTGCCAAGGAGAGGGGCAAACCAGAGCAGGACGTGCTGTAGGGCTATGAAATTAAAGGGGGGGGGGTGTCACAGATGGGCTGCTCCATGCTGCGCGTGACCCATTCACCCTCGATAAGTTCAGAAATTAAGAATAAGCACCTAGAAGCGTTCACAGCAGCTTCATAGACCTATTTCATGTCTTTTGAATCCAGTAAGAAATTCTGGCTTCTATTTTGAATGCTTTTAAAATTCCATTCTTCTACTCATTTTTATTATATGTTACAATAAAAGCATGGTTTGTGATAGGCTGAGAAAGAAAGAAGGAAAGAAATTAAGGGCCACCCGGGTGGCTCAGTTGGTTAGGCATCCAACTTCAGCTTGGGTCATGAAATCGCAGTTCGTGGGTTCAAGCACCGTGTCGGGCCCCACACTGGCAGTGCAGAGCCTGCTTGGGATTCTCTCTCTCTCTCTGCCCCTCCCCTGCTCACCTTTCTTTCTCTCAACATAAATAAAAACAAAACAAAACAAGAAATTAAGAAAAGAAAGAAAAAAAACCCAACCTTGTTCCTTCACCACAGATAGCGTGAGAAAGGCTGATAAAAGGGATTCAGGTCCAACTGCCTCATTTTATTGACGAAAACGGTCACGTAGAGGGGTTGGGAGCCGAGCTCAAGGTCGGGTATTTGGTCTGAGGCAACTTTGGCCAACCTAAGCTGAGGCAAATGAACTTTCCAGGTGGTCTGGCCAGGATTCTGCACAGGGGCGGGACGGGGCTGGGGGGGTGAAGGGGGAAGGCAGCGCCAGCACTGTGTAAGCAGTAACACAATACTATAGTGGTTCTCTTAGGTTCCTTTATGCTTGGATTTTCTTTAAGGGTAAAGGCAGAGGGGAGGAAAGAGAGCTGGGCAGAAAGCATGGGGACTCCCAAAGAGATCTGAATTAGTTTTTTCCTGCTAGGCACGGGTGTCCATATTTTAGCATATAGCTTCGAGATTGCAGAGCAGATGAAAGAAATGCTTTGCCCTGCTTACTTCAGACACTGCTATTTCCTTGTCTGGGATGATTTAAGTGTGGTCCTAAGGTGACTGTTTCAGACCCAGACTCCTGAACTTACCAACACCCAATATTCTGGGGACAGCTCTTTATTAACTGAATTTTGTGAGTGAGGGAAAAACATCTTGTGCATTTTGAGAGTGCTCTTAAAACACTAAATGGATTTTTCCAGGCAAAGAGTCTTGCATTGACTCAGGTTTGGATTTTATTGACCTGCGTGCTAGATTTTTATCATAAAACATGAGAAATATGAAACTTAAGGTTTAAAAAAAATTTTTTGTATCAATTTTGTAATTCTTTTAGATATTTCTTTGTTTTTTGGAATAAAGAGCCTATCTGACTGAAAATAAAAATTTTCCACTTATTCATGAAGCTCTTAACTAGTTGCAAAATATCATCATGATACTTGGCGGGAACAGAGTGCTGGTGGAGGGGTTATCGCCAGCGAACTCCTAGCCCCACAAAGGCCACATCCTCCCAACTGAAAAGCTGACAACATCCTGGTTGCCATGGGCAAGGAACTCCTTTTTCTTTTACTGATGTAAGAAGTCTTCCCTTTGGGGGTAATATTGCTAGGTAATGAAATCCAGATCGTTAACTCAGCCTCAGTTCAGTCTCACGAGCTCATGCTTTTCCTGCATTTTGGGGTCACAAGCAGGGCCATTATGCTGGCGGGAGTGCATCTGGCACTGCAATGGCTCATGGCTGGGTAATATGTGCGCATTTATCTGCTAATGGGTTTCTTCCCAGATACATTTTACAAATGATGGGTCCAGGTTAGTGGTCCTGGTCTCGGGCACACGCTGGATTTACCTGGAGGAGGAGGGGCGGCTCTCATGGGGTAGTTGGCATTGTGCGTCCCACCGGAATAACCTTTGTTTTGAATTGTGTTCCTTCTGGTAGGACCTGAAACAAACAAAAAAGACAAAGTCAAAATCAGTACCACTGGTTGGTTTTATGGCTTCTGATGGTTTCTTGCTTATGGAAAACTTTCGAGAAGTGTGGAATCCAGGTTCCAGCCAGATATGCAAGGAGCCTGTATAGAGAAGGGACAGTTGAGGGAAGTACTGTCTTAGTAGCTATGGGACAGGAGGGGCCGGAAGACGTGTCGATGGACCCATGGTGTTGAAATGTTAGAGGCAATGGCTTTACAGTCTTACAAAAGCGTTTCTATTTCTGTGGGCTTTCAAAAGAGATGGGTGGGACATTTTAACGTTTGCACTCGTGGTCTGAACACAGCACGGAATGAACCCGTGAGTGCTGCCCGTCACGGTCACTGGCAAGAAGCACATCTCAGCGCTCACTGTACATCAGTGTAGGGTCAAGAGCCTTCCGATGAAAACAGAGACCACAGAGGGTAGAAGACTTGTACTTCTGACACGGACGTGAGGAGTTAGAAAATCAACTGGTGGTCCATGGAACCCCACTGTGGGTCAGAACTGGGCCTGGGGCGGCAGGAACACTGCCGGGCAGAGGAGATGGCACCTCTGCAGAGACATGTATTACAAAGGAAACCAACAGATAGGTCTCCAGTAGGACATGAAGGAAGGCAGGATCAAACCAGAAGAGGGGTGCAGAGGGAATTTCTTGCAAAGAGAAGGGCTGAGGAACTGAGAAGGATGGGAGGTGAGAAGGCACGAATAACACAAAATGAAGGAGGTCCTGAGGTCTGGGACAAGGGGAAGCGGCCTGGTGAGGGTTTCCCTCTCAGTACCTAGATTCCTTCCCTCCTGATTAGGGGATGTTCCACTTCGGGGCCTACTGAACACTCTTCACAACCTGCTGGTTATCTGTTGCTCTTCTTTGCCAGGCTCTGAGCCCAAAGGACTGCTTCACCTGGGCCAAGAGGCCTCTGCATTCCAGTTGGGTTTGGCCAGGAGGAGGTATTGGCAGGAGACCAGAGTGGGGAGACACAGAATCTTTTTTTTTTTTTAATTTTTTAAATGTTTATTTATTTTTGAGAGAGACAGACAGAGCTTGAGCAGGGGAGGGGCAGAGAGAGAGAGAGGGAGACAGCCTGAAGCAGGCTCCAGGCTCCGAGCTGCCAGCACAGAGTCCGATGCGGGGCTGGAACCCACGGACCGTGAGATCATGGCCTGAGCCGAAGTCGGTCATCCAACCGACTGAGCCACCCAGGCGCCAAGCAGACACAGAATCTTAAGCAGGCTCCAGGCTCCAAGCTATCAGCACAGAGCCTGACGCAGGGCTTAAACCCATGAATCACGAAATCATGACCTGAGCCAAAGTCAGACACTTAACTGACTAAGCCACCCAGGCATCCCAAGAATCCGTGTATTTAAAAGCATCTTCAAAAACTGCTGTCTGGGGGCGCCTGGGTGGCTTAACTGGTTAAGCATCCAACTCTTGGTTTCAGCTCAGGTCATGCTCTTATGGTTCGTGAGATTAAGCCCCATGTTGGGCCCTGCGCTCAAAGTGTGGAGCCTGCTTGGGATTCTCTCTCTTCCTCTCTCTCTGCCCCTCGTGTGCTCTCCCTCCCTCTCTCTCAAAATAAATAAACAAACTTAAAAAAAAAAAGAGAAAAATTAAAACAAAACCCAAAAGAACTGCTGTCTGTTTTCTGTAAGTACCAACTGATACAGACACACCAACATGTTCTGCGTGGCTATTTGTCTGTATTGTATTAGTGACTTACAGCACATGCCAGCGTGTACCTTTGTAGACAGATTTCACAAAGGCCTCCTTTATACCTGGCATCCATTTGTTGTACGCATGGAAAAAATTCTATAAAGATATCTACAGTAGATGAAAGCATAGCATACATGATTACTCTATGCTGTACATTACAAACATTGGTAATAAATAGAAAAAGAATCAAAGGTTGGTGAAGGAGTTAGTGCAGTGCGGTGGCAGGAGGGGTTTTCCAGGTAAGCGCTGGTTCTATGGTGGAAGGAGGAGCCATTAGCTCTGATGCCCAGTAATACAGTGAAACCCGGCTAAGGGCTGGTAAAACGTGGTCAATTTCTTCTAACTGCCAGAAAAGGTAATGTTTGTAATGTTGACAAGATCTGACTGGAATGGGCTGGACATGTGAAGCTAACAAGCTGATTTATTTTATTTAAAAATTTTTTTTAAATGTTTGTTTATTTTTGAGAGAGCAGGAGTGATGGAGGAGCAGAGAGAGAGGGAGACACAGAATCTGAGGCAGGCTCCAGGCTCCGAGCTGTCAGCACAGAGCCCGATGTGGGACTCGAACTCACAGACCATGAGACCATGACCTTGAGCTGAAGTCGGATGCTCAACCGACTAAGCCACCCAGGCTCCCCTGATTTATTTTAAACACAGTATTTGTAATGCCAGGATTGCTATACCTAAGTGCGAAATTATCCAGAAAGGTTTAACCTGCTCATTTGCCTCGATGTTGGTTTGGTTGGAAATGCTTCAATGTCAAGTAAACCCCAGCCCCAGGAAGCAGTAAATGTACTGGTTCTCTGCCTCGCAGAGCCCCGTGAGCATCTCGTAGGAAGCAAGTCTGGCCCCGAGCAGGGTGAGGGAGGGCCAGGCGGTGGTCCCGCCACGGGCCCCGTGCACACTTACGGGAGTTCTTGGGCAGGCCTGGTCCGATGCTGACCTGCAGCACTTTGTTACTGGGCTTGAGGATGGCCAGGTCACCGAAGCCTTGGTGGAACTGCACTTGCCGGGAGCCCCCTGCACTCCAGGGACCCCAGTTTTCCTTTTTCAACTTGAGTTCAAGCCTGTGATGAGGATATTTGTTAGTAACACATGAGAAAATGGTGCTCGCAGACCCCAGCATGGAGTTTTCTGCTGCTGGGCAAGAGTGCTGTAAAACTAGGCAAACCCAGGTCATCTGAGCCAGCCCGGGGCCCTCGAACGTGGACAACGTACATGGGTGTGGGACAGCGGCGTGCTAAGCCCCGACCAGAGGCAGAAGTATCTGGGGCCCAGCAAGCATCTGTGAGAAACCAGTTGGTGAGGGAAGTACCCCATTATAGGTACCAATGTCACTCCATCAGGTGAACTCAGGTGGGTCTGCCGAGTGGACGAAAGGGAAAGGACACTCCCCAGGCCACACTATTGTGGGGCGTCACTGTGCCTCTCCGATTTCCCTCGGTCTGTTTGTGGAGAACTGAGAGATGCCAGACATAAGATAGCCCATGTCTCCCCGGCACGGAAGGTGGTTATTACTTAATTAAATTTCATTCAACACTAGCAACCAAAACCCAAATAGATGGGAAATTCATCCACAACTCTAAAATGCCCAGCCAGTTTTTATTTTTCATACTGCCTATGGGCTTACATAACACAATTCCATATTCTGCTTTTTTTTTTAACTTACATTTTCTCATGTCATAAGGCAGAAAAATCCTAATTTTAAGTAGCTGTCCATATTACTTCACAAAAATGCAAAAGTGATCTTTCAAGGTCTGTAACATCCATCAGGACTGTCTTCTATAGGCCCTAGGACTCTCTGGGAGAAATGGAGGCACACAGGGCTGGGCTTTTCTGAAGCCACTGAAGCCGGTCAGACCCCCTGCTCCACCCCACAAGCCTCCTCTCTTCTCAGCCTTGACTGCAGCAGGGAGATCAATTTTTACTCACAACTTTGGGCCCCAGATCCCCACTTACGTATTGCTAAATTTCAGAGGTAGTTGCTTCTGGGTTTTTTCCTCATAACGCTTTGCTAAGAGGCTTAAGAATTCAGTTTTGAAGACAGACTCAAGCAGACTGTCATACTCTTGCTCATGAAGAATGAAAATGTCATCCTGCATGGTACTGCAAAGAGATTGGAAAGACTTAATGAAAGTTGCACGTCTGTTTATTCCCTTAAAAAAATTCTGTAAGATAGCATTAGGTTTCTACAGTCTTTCTGTAAGTGATAAGCTTCAAAACAAAACACAACAGCTACAAATTACATAACAAAATTGCTGCAATCTGCTTTCGAAGGAAGCTTATAACCCACCAAAAGTATCATCAAAATAAATCTCCCACATGATTTTCAAAATCGGGAATTTAAGGACAACTTAGTCTGTATTAAAAAAGAAAAAACCACTTTCAAATTCAACTTCTACGTTCTTAGGATCATAAAAATCCCAACTGTTATGAATAGAATGTGGCTGAAAGTGAACAATTCCACGTAAGTGCCAAGTTAGTAGAATTTACAATATGGTTGTAGCTATTGTAATAAATCCTAACTTGAAGAATTGTAGCTCAGTTACCAAAAGGGAGGCCAACACCCTGGGCTTTGTAAGCACTTATTACGGGTCTTTGGGTATTGGGTGCTCTGCTTAAACTGTGTGCCAAGAGCTGCTGAAGGCACAAACACACGAAACACAGATACACAAGACAGGTGGACCAACAGCAGGCAAGAACAATCATCAACTTCAAGCTAATGAATTTCGTGGGACAGGGAGAGAACACACCTCTGTGGAAACTGCATGTTTGTATAGGGTAGGGCTGTGGGCAAACTCAGCCCAGGAGGGAGAAAACATGAGATGCTGCAGGAAGACTGGAAGAGGCGGAGGCAAACCCAGTTCTGGGGAAAATGCTTACTGGTAGAGAGGATTGATTAGACTCAGTTCCATCTCCAAACCCAGCTAGACTTCATGGAAATTACAACACACATATAATTAAGACCTTTTATACTCCAGTTGTTAGAGGTATAGCTCAGTTGAAGGAGGCCACCAACCCCACAGGTTCCATAATGTACACACTTACAAAGACCTCCACTGGACCACCGTTAAACTATCTAAGACACCCCTCTAAAGAATGACATTTCATCAGGGATAGTGTTTTTCCAGGTATTAAAAACAAAGCAAACCTGTTTCAATGAATTGACCACAATAACATTTTAATCTCTTCAAGTGCAGGAAATGCCAACAACATGGTTTTTTTTGGTTTTTTTGGTTTTTGTTTTTTTCAGTAACCAGAGCTGAGCTGTATCACACAGGGGCCTGCTCTCGGGACCCTAGGTACCGCTGCACCAATAGATTACAAACCCAGACGGGAAGGTGAGTATGGAGAAAGAACTAGGGCATACAGAAGCTTTGAGATTAAGCATTCTTCTTCCATGTAGACTCTGATCCATTTAAACTGCAACCCCCATGGTATCTCTGGGCAGTCCCATGAATATGATGAGGTCGGGGTAGACCAGAGGCAGTCTGAGCCTTCTGACTTCTTCGGGCAGTCAGAGCCTTGATGGCTTGTCAGGAACCTTCTCTCTTTGGGCACAGAAGGAAGCTAACGACCTGTACCTGATTAAGTCAGTAGCTTTAGCCATAGCCTCTTCCAGAAACCTCAGCCCCTTAGTCTTCCTACATGAAAGGAGCTTGGTAATGTATAGGAGAGGAGAGATCTAAGGTAGGCCCGCCACCCACCTATAATTTAAAGGCACAGGATGGCAGCATGCACAAACCACAGGGGAGAGATGAGTAAACTAGAAGCAACAAGACAACAGCACACTGAGAGGAAGCTTGGCCCTTCAAAGCCTGTTTAATGAGGATGAGTATGCCGAAGAGTTCTTGGATGTGAAGTCAGAATACTTTACGGGCATTTTTGAACACATAATGGCCATTTAGGTGGAACACTTGCTCATTATTACTACCTCAAGCCTTTGTTTTCAAACTTTCCTACATCACAACTAGTTTCCTTTATACTCTTGTTATAGTTGGGATATAGGATTTTCTGTCGTGATGAAGACTGTGGCAACTGGCGGTTTAAACAAGATTGCATTTTTGTCTCTTGCTCGTCAAAAGCATTTGCAAAAGCAATTCAGGACCAACAGGACCATTCTACAGTGCCTGGGGGCTAGGCATTTACTCTTTCCTTTTACAGGTAGGACCGGGAAGTTGTAAAGTCTGAGAATGTACCACAGACGGTCTAGCTACAAAGCTACTATCATCTTCCTGTCTCTAGGCAGATGAAAAGTCTAGAATTGTCATGATCAATTCAATTATGGCAATGCAGAACTCCACACAAAGACACTTATGTAAACATCATTTGGAATTAATGAAAAAAAACCCCCAAGCATCCTAGCATCCTAGCCCAGGGGTAAGAAGACTGTTGCGTGAGGAAGGGACTGGATGCAATAGGCAAAGAGTAAAACGAGAAGCCCCACTTTTCGGTGTGTGGGGTGAGAAACAAAACTCTGCTTGATGCAGAGCACTCTTGGGCATGTCTGGATGCGTCTGTTTGCCTGGCTGTACTTTTCGGCGGGACAGTGCTTATTCAACTGGGCTAAATGAGCCCAACGCAAGTAACCTTGAGTAGTTTAATGCGCTTAGGAGTTTCATTACCATAAAGAAAAAAGCAAGCAGGCCAAAACTTCAGGGCCAATTATCAGCAGGAGTCTGGAAATGAGAACAAGTGTTTGGACACTTTGACTTTAGCCCTCAAATTCAGAAACCCCTCCCGCAGGTGACCCAGGCATGGGAGTCCGTGAAACCATCCTTAGGCCAGAGTTTTAAGTTCATTCGCCTCTCCTCAGCCCACGCTCCAGGGGCTAAAAACAAAGCTTTTACATTTATTTATTCTAAAAATTCAGACTTATCTTTGGACCTCACCCCTGTCTTATTCATATGCTCAAGCTGCAATTCCTTACAGATGTTTGATGTAGTCCCCTGTGCTGAAAGATCCTTTACTAGTCCCTGCTTTGGCTCTCTATTTGCTTTTTATCTCATCTTTGTGGCTTATTGTTATATTGCTGACAATACTAGAAAATCTTGTTTCACTCCCTTAACCAGTATCTCTTTCACAAAAAAACGTTTGTTACAAAACACTGAGTAAAGACTTAAAGGAGGTTCCCCCGCCCTTATGCTGAAAAGGCTATTTCCTAGGCCAGCCCTGCCTTTATTTAAACCTTTATATGTACTCCTTTTAGCAAACTGCAAAGTACAGAGGTAATTAAAGAAGAAAAAAAACCTGGGTGCCTGGGTGGCTCAGTCGGTTAAGTGTCTGGCTCAGGTCATGCTCTCATGGCTCATGAGTTCAAGCCCTGCATCAGGCTCTCTGCTGTCAGCACACAACCTCCTTGGGAGTCTCTGTCTCCTCTCTCTTTGCCTCTCCTTTGCTTGCTTGCACACATGCTCTCTGTCTCTCTCTTTCAAAAATAAATAAACGTGAAGAAGGAGAAGAAAATAAACCTTCTCCAGAATTCCACCATACAGAGAAACCAGTGACACCAGCTTTGGGGCAACCTGATTTCCCTGTAGTGCAGACACAGGCTGTGTCAAACCTAAACAAGGGTCTCCTAGCAAAGCTTCACAGACCCCCAGTGAGAAGGCTCATCGTGTCTTTTGTATCCCAGGAGTATCCTGTGTAACATCTCCTAACACTTATAACCTGTATGGCAGGTTATATGGAAGGCCTACTCAGGTATTTGCTTCCATTCCAGAATGACAGGGAGCTCCTTGAGGCAGTGACTATGTTCGCATTCACCTCCAAATTCCAGAGCTGAACAGAAGGTAGGGGTTCAGTTCAAAAATGCTGACAACGTCCAGGTTCCCAAATCCCAAAGGTTACATCAAGTCAAGATTTCAGTAATGTTTTGGGTCAGCTGCGCAGTGGTAAAGTAGGCTGTTCTTATTGCCAGGTTTAGCCAATTAGGCAATGCAACATTCTAGGCAAGAATGTTGCAACAAGAGAAACTGGAGCATCTCCCTAAAGCCCTCTTTCAGGTTGATCTTCCCATCACATAGTCATTTTGGAAAATCTACTGAACCAGACAGGGAGCCACGTAGTTTTCAGTCTTGGGCCTCTGGTGATCAGCTATTAAAATGACAAGGACTATTAGAAGCCTCATCAGAGGAGGGGCCAAGATGGCGGAACGGCATGAAGGTTTTTTTTGCGTCTCTCGTGGCTGAAATGTAGCCAGATTAACACTAACCCATCCTGCACACCTAGAAAACTGATTTGAGGATTAACACAACAATCTGCACAACCTGAACCACAGAACTCAGCAGGTACGCGGCGTGAAGAGGTGAACTGGGGGAGAGAGAAGCTGCGGAGGTCAGGGAGTTGTTTTTGCTTGTGGAGAGAGGATGGAGATGGGGAGAGAGTATGGGAAAAGCACCCCCCCCCCCACCAAAAGCAGCTGCAGACAAAGTGGAAAAGTGGAAACAGCCACGGGGACTGAACAAAAAAGGAAGAAAGGAGAAAGGAGAGGGTTTAAATTCCATTAAGACTCTATAAACAGGGGGAGCGCAGAGTCTGCAACTCTGCAGCTCAATACCTAGTGGTGCTCTGGTGGGAAGGGCGAATCCCCAGTAGCAGAGTGGGGTCCAAGAGGTTCTCGGGCCACATGGGGAGAAGCAGTTCCCCTGCTGGGAGGACACCTGGCAGAGGCTGTGCGGCATCCCCACAGGCAAAGGTCCCAGCAGACTCCGGAGAACAACCACATTTACTAGTGCTGGAATGAGGACATTGAGGGTGAAGCCCGGAGCCAGATGTGTGTTGTGATTTTCCATAAACCTTGAAACTCTGCTGCTGGTACAAGATCGCATGAACTTTTTGTTCATGGTCACATGAACATGCCACAGTCTCTGGGCCCATCAGCAGTGCGGTCTCATGAACATTCCTGGGGGCGAGCCGGCACCTGGCCATTGCTTGGTGAGACCCTCCTCCAGAAGGTGTGAGCGGGCCAAAGCTGAAGTTCCTCAGAAGTGAGGGGCTGGGAAAAAGCCCTATTTGAGATAAAACTCAGGAGGCAGGTGCCGCCTGGCAGCTTGGTTACAGACAGTGTAGAAGTGGGGAGTGGATGGAAGCCAGAGAAAAAGCAA